AATAAGAATGGTTTATTCTTTATGCAGTAAAATTTAAACACTAAATTTTCCTAATGAAAGATATCTATTCTAGTGTTTTCTTATTGTTTTTTTTTGCGGGGGATACATGCTCTTTTATTTTGTATTAATTCAACAAGTATTTGAGCAATTAGTATTTGTGCCTTTTTTTTTTTTAATAATCTTCCCAACAACCCTTCAATATAGGTGCTACTGTCCCACTTACAAGAAACTGAGGCAAGAGAAGTGATGGTGACCTGCCAAAAGCCACAAAGCTAGTAGATTTTGAAGCAAGGATTCAATCTAGGCCTGGCTTGTTTTTCTGGGTTTTTTGGCCATGCGTGCGCGACTTGTGGCATCTTAATTCCCCAACCAGTGACTGAACCCGCGCCCTCGGCAGTGAAACCGTGGAGTCCTAACCACTGGACAGCCAGGGAATTCCCCTGGCTTCAGTTTTAAATTTCTCACTAGGCTAGGCTGCCTCTTCCTAACAGAAGGCGTTTTAAAAATCTAGTTTGAGGACCTAAACCTGTCCCACGCTCAGGGAACACTTCACCAATGAGGTTACCTCTTTGAGTAGGCCATTTATTGATTACTGGCTGCTGAGCACAACTTGTTATCCTTACAACAATAGCACTAGGGAGGTGCTATGAACAGTCCTAGTTGTACAGATACTGAAGCTGAGCAGCAGAGGGGATAAAGAGCCGACTGGACCCAGGGCCCCAGGCATCATACCGCTCTAACCCCACTATCAGGCTCGATCCCGACCCCTCGCAACCTCATTTCTGGGCCCTGAAGGTTACAAGGCTCCCGGGGGTGGACGACTGACTCCTCGTAGGATCTCAGCGCCAGGCGTAGCAGGCCACCGGCATAGAGGTGTAGAGACCGGCAGGGAAAGTCTGACCTCTTATTGTTTTTTATGGAAGTGTAGTTGATTTATAATATTTTGCTAGTTTCAGGTGTGCAGCAAAGTGATTCAATTATATATATATATATAAATGTATTTTCAGATTATTTTCCATTAGAGGTTATTACAAGATATTGATTATAGTTCCCTGTGCTATATAGTAGGTCTTTGTTTCTTATCTATTTTAGGTATAATAGTTTGTATCTGTTAATCCGTACTCCTAATTTATCCCTCCCTTGCCTCCCTTCCCCTTTGGTAACCATGAGCTTGTTCTCTATGTCTGTGAGTCTGCTTCTGTTTTGTACATAGATTCATTTGTATTATTTTTTAGATTCCACATATAAGTGATATCATATAATATTTGTCTTTGCCTGACTTATTTCACTAAGCATAATATTCTCTAGGTCCATCCATGTTGCTGTAAATGGCACTATTTCATTCCTTTTATGGCTGAGTAATATTTCATTGTGAGTGTGTATATATGTATATATGTACCACACCTTAAGCTAATTGTCAGTTGATGGGCACTTGGTTGTTTCCATGTCTTTGCTATCATAAATAATGCTGCTATTAACATTGGGGTGCATTTATCTTTTCAAATTGGTGGGTTTTTTTTTTTTCTGGTTATATGCTCAGGAGTGGAATTGCTGGATCATATGGTAGTTTTATTTTTAGTTCTTTCATGAAACTCCATACTGTTCTCTATAGTGTCTGTACCAATTTACATTCCCATCAACAGTGTAGGAGGGTTCCCCTTTATCCACACACTCTCCAACATTTATTATTTGTAGACATTTTAATGATGGCCATTTTGACTGGTGTGAGGTGGTACTTCATTGTAGTTTTGATTAGCATTTCTCTAATAATTAGCAATGTTGAGCATCTTTTCATGTACCAGGGGGCATCTGTATGTCTTCTTTGGAGAAATTGTCTATTTAGGTATTCTACCCATTTTTGATTGGGGTTTTTTTTTTATAGTGAATTGTATGAGCTGTTTTTATATTTTGGATATTAACCCCTTGTTCACTGCATCCCATTCCATAAGTTATTTTTAGTTTTGTTAATGGCTTCCTTTGTGAAAAACCTTTTAAGTTTGATTAGGTACCATTTATTTATGTTTGCTTTGATTTATTTTGCCATGGGAGACTGATCTAAGAAAATGTTGCTACAATTTATGTCAGAGAATGTTTTGTCTATGTTCTCTTCTAGCAATTCTATGGTGCCATGTCTTATATTTAGGTCTTTAAACCATTTTAAGTTTATTTTTGTATATGGTGTGAGGGAGTGTTCTAATTACATTGATTTTTCATGTAGCTGTACAGCTTTCCCAACACCACCTGCTGAAGAGACTGTCTTTTCCCCATTGTACATTCTTGCCTCCTTTGTTGAATATTAATTGACCGTAGGTGTGTAGATTTATTTCTGGACTCCATTCTATTCCATTGACCTATATGTCTACTTTTGTGAAAGTACTATGCTGTTTTGATTATTGTAGCTTTGTAGTATTGTCTGAAGTCTGGAAACGTTATGGCTCCAGCTTTGTTCTTTTTCTTCGGGATTGCTTTGACAATTCTGGGTCTTTTGTGGTTCCATATAAATTTTAGGATTATTTGTTCTAGTTCTGTGAAAAATATGATGGGTATTTTGTTAGGGATTGAAATAAATCTGTAGATTGCTTTGGGTAATATGACCATATTAACAGTATTAATTCTTCCAATAAAGAACATGGGATCTCTTTCCATTTCTTTGAATCATCTTCAATTTCCTTTACAGGTGTTTTATAGTTTTCAGCATATAGGTATTTCACCTCCATGAAAGTTAATTCCTAGGTTTTTTTTCTTTTTTGATTCAATTTTAAACGAGGCTGTTTTTTAAATCTCTTTCTGATACTTCATTGTTAGTGTAAAGAAATGGAACAGATTTCTGTGTGTTAATCTTGTATCTTGCTGAACTCATTTATTCCAATAGATTTTGTGTGGAGTCTTGGGGCTTCTCTATATAGAGTATCATTTCATCTGCAAATAGTGACAGTTTTGCCTCTTCCCTTCCAATTTTGATAGCTTTTATTTCTTTTCTTGTGTGATTGTTGTGGCTAGGATTTTGAACACTGTGTTGAATAGACGTGGTTAGAGTGAGCATCCTTGTCTTGTTCCAGATTTTAGTGAGAAGGCTTTCAGGCTTTCACTGTTGAGTATTATGTTGACTGTGGGTTTGTCATAAATAGCTTTTATTATGTTGAGATATGTTCGCTCTGTACCCACTTTGGTAAGAGGTTTTATTATGAGTAGATTTTGAATTTTATCAATTGTTTTTCTGTGTCTATTGAGATGATCATATGGTTTTTGTTTTTTCTTCTGTTATGTGGTGTATCACATTGATTTGTGTATGTCAAACCATCCTTGTAACCCTGGAATGAATCCAACTTGATCATAGTATATGTTCCTTCTTATATATTGTTGATATGATTTGCTAATATTTTGTAGAGGATTTTTGCATGTATATTCATCAAAGACAGTGGTTTGTAATTTTATTTTTTTGTAGCATCTTTGTCTGGTTTTGGTATTAGAGTGATTGTCGTTTCATATAAAACATTTGGAAGTGTTCTCTCTTCATTCTTTTGGAATATTTTGAGAAGGATAGGTATATATTCTTCTTTGTATGTTTGGTAAAATTCCCCAGGGAAGCCTTCTTGTCCTGGAATTTTGTTTGCAGGGAATTTTTTATTACAGATTCTATTTCACTTCTAGTTATCAGTCTGTTCAAATTCTGTTTCTTCCTGACTCAATTTTGGCAGGTTCTATATTTCTAGAAACTTGTCAAGTTCTTCTAGGTTGTCCAATTTGTCAACATATATCTGTTAATACTATTTTCTTATGATTTTTTGTATTTCTGTGGTATTGGTTATTCCTTCTCTTTCACTTCTTTTTTTGTTTTTATTCGGGTTCTCTCTCTTATCTTTTTAGTGAGCCTGGCTATAGCTTTGTCAATTTTATCTTTTCAAAAGATTTTATTGATCTTTTCTATTTTTTGATCACTATTTTATTTCTTTTCTCCCTAATCTTTATTTCCTTCTTTCTGCTGACTTTGGGATTTGTTTGTTTTTTTCTACCTCTTTTACATGGTAGGTTAGTTGTTTGCAATTTTTCTTGTTTCTTAAGGAAGGCCTGTATCACTATGAATTTCCCTCTTAGAACTGCTTTTGCTGCATCCCATAGTTTTTGTTAGGTTGTATTTTCATTATCATTTGTCTCAAGGTATTTTATGATTTCCTCTTTAATTGTTGACCCATTGGTTTATTTAAGTGATCTTCATCTTTTTATATTTTTTTGCCTTTCCTATTGTAGTTTTCTATTTCCTATAGATTCTTTTTTTTTTTTTTTTTTTTTTTTGCGGTATGCGGGCCTCTCACTGCTGTGCCCTCTCCCATCGCGGAACACAGGCTCTGGATTCGCAGGCTCAGTGGCCATGGCTCACAGGCCCAGCCGCTCCACGGCATGTGGGATCTTCCTGGACTGGGGCACGAACCCATGTCCCCTGCATTGGCAGGTGGACTCTCAACCACTGCACCACCAGGGAAGCCCTCCTATAGATTCTTGATACTTTTTAGAGAAGGCCTTTGAGTATTTCTTTTAGGTATTACTGTATTCTTCACTTTTTGCTTGTCTGAGAAATTCTTTCTCTCTCCTTCTATTCAAAATGATGATTTGCTGGGTAGAATATCCTTGGTTTCAAGCTTTTCCATTTCAGAATTTTGAATGTTATCATGCTACTCCCTTGTGGCCTGCAAAGTTTCTGCAGAGAAATCAGCTGATAGGCTTATGGGGCTTCCCTTGTAACTGACTCTGGTTTTCTCCTGTTGCCTTTAGAATCCTCTTTCTTTATCTTTTGCCATTTTAATTATAATATGTCTTGGTGTGAATATGTTTATCTTGTTTGGGACCCTCTGTGCTTCCTGTACCTGAATACCTGTTTCCTTTAGGTTTGGAAAGTTTTCAGCCATAGTTATTTCAAATATATTTTTGATTCCCTTCTCTCTCTCTTCTCCTTCTGGAACTTATATTATGCATAGGTTGGCATGCATATGCATTAGATCCCATGGATCTCATATGTTGCCTTCTGGTTTTTGTTTCTCATTTGTCTGTCTCCTGTTCTGATTGGGTGTTTTCCATTATTCTAACTTCCAGATCACTTATTCATTCTGTATCATTTATTGTGTTATTCATTGCTTCAACATTGGTTTTTATCTCAGCAAATAAGTTGTCTAATTTTTATTGGTTCTCCTGTATACTTTCCAGTTTCTTATTACAGTGATCTGCATTTCTACTGATAATCTTAATTCCTTTAGCATTTTTATTACCTCCTTTTTGAACTTAGGGTCTAGTAGCTTGGTGATTTCTGTTTTATTATTCTTTCAGAATATTTCTCTTGTTCTTTTAATTGGGAGTAGTTCCTCTGCTTTTTCATTTAATTTAACTTTCTCTATCTCTGTGACTTAAGGAGAAACAGTTTTCTACTGTGGTTTTGAAGGGGTATTTTTATGTGGAACTGTCCCTATATAGACTCTGTGAGTGTAGTGTTTTTGTGGAAGGGCTATTCTTGGTGTGCATGCCAGTCATGTTTTTCCCCAATGTGTGCTGGCCATTATCTCCTTGAAAAAGGGTGCAATCGGTATTGTGGTGTCCAGAGCCTGGACCAGATGTTGGATGGGGCCTCCTTTTTGCTCCATGGCTGTCACAGCCCTGTTGGGGGTGGGATCTGCTCCCCAGTTGTTGGATTAGAAGCCCTAATGTTGGGTTTGATAAGTGTGTGCCTATAAGTGCATGTTCTATCCCAGAGGAAGTGAGCACTGAAGCAAGTGAGGTCCATGTGGTCAGAGGGAATCTATGCACTGCCCATTCAGGCATCCACAGTTCTTCCCATCAACAGCCCAAAATTGTGTCCCCTTCTTTGTTCATCCCATACCTAGTGCTAGGCTGGGGACTGGGGCTAGGGTACTATGGCTGCAGGAAACAATGTGGTTTTGCTACCGCCTGGGACCTGGGCTGCCACTGTGGGATGGTTCCTCCCAGGACCAGTTTGCCCCTAATCCGACTCCAATCTGGGGTGTGAGATGGGCAGAACTAGAGTGCTCCTGCCAGGAAAGGAACCACTGCATATTCCTCCCCAGGGGCCATCCACTGGAGACCTGTGGTTCCATGACACCACCTGGTGTGCACACCAGCAAAGTCCACCTCTGTGGGACCCACCACCACTGTTCACAAGCTGACAGTGGGCTCCAAGTTTTGGCCTAGATCACACCCAAGGCCCTCCTGGCTTTCTCTGTGCAGTTACACCAAATCTTCTCCCAGGTCCTGAGACTCAGTGCCTAGCCACTGGCATACTAGCAGCCCTGCCTGGCATGGGTTTTTGCTGGGAAGTGTGACAAGGTGGCAGCTGTCAGTGCCTGTCTTTCTCTATCCTAATTTTTAGCAAACTGGCACATGCCCACTCTTTTGGAGCAGAGTCCAGCCCCCTCCAGCCCCTCTGTCTGTCCCAGTGGACCTCGTAGCAGGCAGGGTAGCTTCCCAGGGTGAGGGCTTGCCCATGTCTCCATCACAGATCCTCCCTAGGGGCACCAGTCCCTTTCTGATGCTTTTTTTTTTTTTTTTTGGACTTACCCAGTTATGTGGGAATCTTTCTTGCATCTTTGGTTTTATAAGAGATATTCTGCCAATTCCCAGTTGGTTTTTTGTGAGAATTGTTCTACTTTTGAGGTGTTTAAAACTGCACATCAAAAATATCAATGTATTTTCATATTAATGTTGCTTTAGATATATAAAATAGAGGTCAGGATTAGATCATGTCTGTTAGTATGATTATTGTTTCTTTTTTTAAAAACAGAAATGACCAGTAAAATCAGGGGAAAACTGAAGTTATATAGTTATTGGTCATGATTTAGGGACAGAAAGGCTTGTCATTCAGTTAGGAGAAAATAAATGGAGGACGTGAACTGAAATAATATGACATTCTAGCTTTCATAAATTAGATTACTAGAATGAGATAATGGATAAAATGTTATACTATGTTTCAAGCAGTTTGCTTTTGGGCTATCTGGTGCCAAACAAAATTACTTCATGATTTTTGTGCAATGCACATGAGTCTACATTCTCCAGCTTTCACGGGTCACCATTTGAATAATACGTAATTAATATTATGTAAGCCTCCAAACTGAGTAAATGCAGAATTTTCAGTTTTTATCTCACCTTTCTTTAGCATCACTGATCTCTCTAAGGAATTGTTCAAAAGTTGCAGAAGTGTGTCATAGTTTCCCCCCGTCACATCCTGCCAATGGCCATTGCTACATATTTCTCACTCTACCTCTTCCCTTCTTATAACTAGGTTCTTTACTGTATTTTGCTCCAACCTAATTCCCTAATGCCCAGCCATCTCCAAGTTGAAGTACAAAAATAGGTAGAAAGTTTAAAAATACTATAAGGAAATTACAGTGCTGTCACAAAGTACAGTGTATTCATATGTACACATACACACAATTGGTAATGTACTATCTATAAAGTTTATGTTCTTTATCTCTCAAACAGTATACTGTGAACATTTCCCATACCATTAAATATGATCCAAATACATTATTTTAATGCCTACAAATTAGATCCTTTTTGTTGTTATAACTAAAAATGAGATGTGTATTATATACTTTAATCATTTTTTCAACTCTGATTCCATAAACTCTACTTTAGGAAGAGATAAGATAACATATGCTGGGAAACATATTTTCAATTGGCCAAGGTAAATATTTAATTTATTACATTTGATATCACCAGTTTCAATCCTAAAAATAACTAAAATTAGCAATCAAGATTAGTGTAATTTTTTTCAGAGCCTGTAATTTGTGTTCTGGTTCCTTGCTCATTTTTGTGTACAAAGAATAGTTAAGTGATAGGAATTGGTTCTGTGTTGATCAGTATCCACACACAAAAGCAATAGCTCACCAAAACAAATGTACATTTAGAATCCCTGATCATTCCTCTAGCTATACTTATGAAAATAATAGGTAAATACAGACTTTGACAGAAGCTTAAAATGACAGCTTTCTAATAAGTAGAAGAAACTGAGTCTACATTATCATGTTTACATCAATTGGTGGAAGAAGCCAGCTTTTCTAGCTTCTGGAATTTTTGTTTTTATACCACCATGTGGGTACCAAAATTTTTGTTACATATGCAGATGTTTGACCAACAAATCTAGTAATTCAAAACATATGGGGATTTTCTCAATTTTTAAAGGATATATTGTTTTTATGAAATCTGTAAATTAATCTAGTTTGTCCTGTCCAAAAGATTTTCAGAGTTTCATTCTGTTCAAAGAGCTGCAACATCTGAGCAGGAAAGATTCAATAACTGATTTGATTCTGAACAGGTTTATCTGAGGAAATTTCGCACATTTCTGTAGATTTTTTTAAATTATTTTTTTGTAAGTATATGTATTTCAAATCTGAGCCTGTGTTCTGCAGAACAATATTGGCTGATCAATGTGTTATTTTGCAGTCATTATACTGGAGTTTATTTCTTGTAAAAATACTTATATATTATTTCTTATTGCTATTAAGGAGTTTGTGAAAAGAAAGGATAAAATTAAGTAATTAAAAGTGTCACAGTTCAACTTAAGTTTACAATTAAGAATTCTATGTTTGCTTGGAAAAATAAAATATAAAATTGCATGTTGGTTACTCATATGAGATGAGACTTGGTGTGAAAGTCATTTAAGAAAAGTGAAAAAGCAATAAAACTCCAGCTGTTTGGTTAGGAAAGGTTTATTAGAACTGCCCCAAACTCAGTCAAACCAATAGCCAGAGTTCTTCATGGACCACACTGTGGCTGATATAATTGAAAGTTTATTTCTAATGTATATTGTCCATTTGAAAAGTATATGTGAAACCAACACTAATATTCTCCATCCTGTATGTAATCATAAATGAAAGATAAAGACTTCCAATATTTTTAGAGATTAAAAATAATATATTTTTTATCCTCACTTTTTCAGAGTTCCATTTAATCATGCAGATAACTTGCTTAAGAGTGCAAGGTATAGGGTCAGTTAACTTTCACCTTGTTCTTGGAGTTTGGAGAGAAAAGCTGCAGTTTTGAGTAAGGGAGGACATGCCTGGGTGTAACAAAAGCCAAAACATGGATGATAGCATAGCTATGTACACTACGAAAAACAAAGATTTTTTTTTTAACATCTTTATTGGGGTATAATTGCTTTACAATGGTGTGTTAGCTTCTGCTTTATAACAAAGTGAATCAGTTATACATATACATATGTTCCCATATCTCTTCCCTCTTGCGTCTCGCTCCCTCCCACCCTCCCTATCCCACCCCTCCAGGCAGTCACAAAGCACCGAGCTGATCTCCCTGTGCTATGCAGCTGCTTCCCACTATCTACCTTACATTTGGTAGTGTATATATATCCATGCCTCTCTCTCACTTTGTCACAGTGCACCCTTCCCCCTCCCCATATCCTCAAGTCCGTTCTCCAGTAGGTCTGTGTCTTTATTCCTGTCTTACCCCTAGGTTCTTCATGACATTATTTTTTCTTAAATTCCATATATATGTGTTAGCATACGGTATTTGTCTTTCTCTTTCTGACTTACTTCACTCTGTATGACAGACTCTAGATCTATCCACCTCATTACAAATAGCTCAATTTCGTTTCTTTTTATGGCTGAGTAATATTCCTTGTATATATGTGCCACATCTTCTTTATCCATTCATCCGATGATGGGCACTTAGGTTGTTTCCATCTCCGGGCTATTGTAAATAGAGCTGCAATGAATATTTTGGTACATGACTCTTTTTGAATTATGGTTTTCTCAGGGTATATGCCCAGTAGTGGGATTGCTGGGTCATATGGTAGTTCTATTTGTAGTTTTTTAAGGAACCTCCATACTGTTCTCCATAGTGGCTGAACCAATTCACATTCCCACCAGCAGTGCAGGAGTGTTCCCTTTTCTCCACACCCTCTCCAGCATTTATTGTTTCTAGGTTTTTTGATGATGGCCTTTCTGACTGGTGTGAGATGATATCTCATTGTAGTTTTGATTTGCATTTCCCTAATGATTAATGATGTTGAGCATTATTTCATGTGTTTGTTGACAGTCTGTATATCTTCTTTCGAGAAATGTCTATTTGGGTCTTCTGCCCA